CCCCACCACACACACACACACACACACCGTACACACACTGTTACAGTATATATAACTAGAGTTCCCCGATCTCATACCTTCGCCAAATGATGTCAATCTTTATGACTGACAAATTATAGATTAGATTATTCCCCCCTGATTTAAGAAATAGGAACCTAATTTTCATGAATTATATCATTTTATCATAATCTCAACCAAAAGACAGTCTTATATTAACAAACAATGCATTCTAGCATTTCCTAATAAATTATGCAAATGAGGTCCTGATTTGAATAAATTATGTTTAATGATGTTGACCTCAACTAAACTTTCAAATACCACAAGTATGAAATTCCAGGCAGTTATCATTACATAATTATAAAACTTTCTAATTAATTATGCAAATTAAGTCATTATTAACATAATCAAAATCTGCCTGTGTTTCTCTCGTTGTCAATTACCAATGTCACAAGCTTCAATTGTCCTATCATGGAATGCAGCTGATTTATAGAATTTCCCCATAAATTATGTAAATTACATCCATATTTGCATAATTGTCACATAACTATATTAAGCATCACGTAAGCTACCTACATACCAGAAATCACGACGATCCGTGAAACGGTTCTTGAGTTATCCCCTTTTGAATAATTTCAAGAATATATCCCTGCAGTTCCAGAGCAAGCCGCTAGGGAGCCCAAACTCACGTCACTTCTTCCCCAGCACGATAGCTACCTACCATCCAAATTTCATCACCCCAGCATGTCTAGATCATGAGATATCAAAACCGGAAGTTCAGCTGCAGTACCATAACAAGCCGCTAGGGGGCCCAAAATCTAATCATTTTGAGGTCTCATCAAGACCTACCCATGCACCTACCAAGTATCAAAATAATCCATCAAGGCCTTCTCAAGTTATCGTGTTTACAGACAGACAGACAGACAGAGACACACACACACACACACATACACGAACGCCCCTGAAAACATAACCTTCTTGGCGAAGGTAACTATATCGTAAAAGTCTACGCCAGAATTAATGTCATAAATCCTGGCAGTGATTGCACTACCTGAAGCACTCCCGATTCCGCCCAAGTCCTGAAAGGGCCATGAAATCGTCACGATCTTCAAATATAGTTTCACGACATGGAAGGGTGGCTACTAGACTTGTCTCACTTCTTCGCCTTCTACCTCGATCGGCAATCATTGACCAAACCCGTATCTGTTCGCAAATTGCACGCCATACTTCTGTCGAATTGAAGCCCGAATGTAGGGTTAACTTTGTCAGCTCCCAGTATGAAGTGATGTGACACGGTGAGTGTGGACACACGGTATGCATGTGTAATGCGCTTCAGTTAGATCTTGTTTCACGGACCTGTCAGTAACCAAATCGATTACATCTGTAGATAAGATAACTTGCCGTCAAAAGTCCACTTTGATTTGAAGTTTGTGATGTTCCACCTGATCCCATGTCTCGGACCGACTTCACCCGGCTGACATGCAGCACGTCCTGTCACCCCCCGTAACGCTCCTCACACCACGCTAATCGTCTTCCCG